GACATCCGCCGGATATTCCATTTCGTTATTAACAGATTGCAGAGAGCATCTTGAAAACAAAAGAAAATAAGGGAACATCTGTCACACCAAGAGCCAGAGATAGAACAACGAGACCTGTCGTTCTATTCTACTTCCACAGAATCACCCATGGCATCAAGAAAATCCCTAACAGGTTCAACATCAACGTCGTCTTCTCTGCACCTAATAAGCTTGCCAACTTGTGCAAACAAGCCAACTCACCTAATTCTCACCGAACAGTAAGCTGTACCAAACAACATCAGAGCAGCTTCGTTGAGTGCGCCGAGGAAGTGGTGTACTCATTTCCCCTTTCGTGCGGGAAAGTGTACATAAGGCAGACTGGACGATCCCTAATGATAGGCTCCGTGAACATAAAAACAGCAGCACCAGAGCTGACTCTGGCCATCTAGGCTTACACTGCCGTGATCGTGGGTGCGACGTTCACCTGAACCAATTGACTAGAAAAATTATCGAAGCTGGACATATCGCCAGGAATTATAAAAACTGTATTAGAACACCATCTTTACACCTGACAGAAAAAGAGAAAAACATTTAGGCGTCTAGGATATCGGTGCGCGTGATTTGGGAAATTCGGTAGAGCAAGAGGTAGAAGAAGACAAACCTAACCCGACAAAATCTTACGATATTTTATATCAAAGCTTCAAGAATATTATAATAAAGCTTTCCCAAAAGCGGAGATTAAAAAACATAAATAGTCAAGGAAGCCGTGGGTAACGCTGGAACTTTACAACCGAATGAAAGCACGTGATCAGATGTTTGCAACGTTTATCAAAACTAAAAATAAGAGTTTACTTATGGAATATAAAAAATGCAGAAACAAACTTTCCCTTGACATTAAAAAGGAAAGATAAACTTTTATAAATCTACGTTCTCTGAAATTTATGAAGACCCAGCTAAGCTGTAAAATACTATGAGGAAATTGATGTCAATAAATCCGGTTTTTATCCCTGAAGAACTTACAATAGATGGTACTCTATATACGCAAGCTTTATTGGCAGATAAATTTAATACACATTTTCTGTCATCTGGTGCATGTGAATCAGCGACCGTATATGATAACCATTACTCATCTGTTCCGGTATTAAGCTCAATATTTTTAGAACCAACAGATGAAACAGAAGTTCGCAACATACTAATGTCCCTAAAGAATAACCGTGCAAGTGGTGTTGATGATATCAAGGTTACCGCTATTAAAGCAGTAACTGAGTTAGTGTTGCCTCCTCTTGTTGATCTTTGTAATAAAATATTGATTTCTGGTGTATTCCCAGAAAAAATGCAAATTGCTAAAGTCAGTGTTATCCACAAGGGAGGCACATATGAGAACCTTAATAATTACAGGCCTATATCTGTACTTCCGCTTTTTTCCAAGGTTGTAGAAAAAATAATTAATTCAAGATTTTACAGGTTTTTTACTATTAATAATGTTATAACTGACAAACAGTTTGGTTTCAGAAAGGAAAATCAACCGAATCAGCCCTAATATATATCAAAGACAAAATAATTACTAATATAGAAAACCATGCATATACCATTGGGATTTTCCTGGATTTCAGAAAAGCGTTTGATTCAATAAAACATGAAATGTCAATGGAGAAACTATCGGCGTACGGAATTAGAGGTAATGCACTAGAATTAATTCGCAGCTATTTATATTCGCGTTCTCGATATACGGTACTTAATGGATTTCAATCTAAACTCGCACCGATAATATATGGCGTTCCGCAAGGTTCCATACTGGGGCCTGTATTATTTCTAATTTATATAAACAATATTGTGAATATACCTGAATCGCGTGATGTTATTTTATATGCTGATGATACCAATGTCTTTTTTTTCTAGTGAAAATCTGGATCAGCTCGAGGAATTTGCAAATAGTTGGCTCAGTAAATTATTATTGTGGCTAAAGCGTAACCAGCTTAATCTTAACTCTAGTAACACAAAATATGTGTTGTTCAGATAAAAAAAAAAAAAAAACTATTTCGCGTACATTGAAGATTTTTTTTTTTGACGGTGAAAAAATTTAAGGCGTTAAATATCACAAGTTTGTTGTTGTGTGGTTTGAAGAAACACTCAGTTGGACGGTACACATAGAAAAAATGAGGGTTGATATTGCAAGAGCAATAGGAATATCAAACAAATTCCGACATTTACTACCAAAAAGGGTGAAACTGCAATTATATTATTCGCTGGTCTACTCACGCTTACAGTACGGTATGTTAGTATGGGGAACCACTACACAAACGAATAAGGAAAAGCTATTTATTTTGCAAAAGAAGGCTGTTCTATTTATTGAGAACCTTAAAAGGTACGAACACTCATTCCCAGCATTTCAAAAGTATAAAATATTAAATATAGATCAAATCCTGCTTCTCAAATTGTCTATTTTTATTTTTAAAGGGACCATGAAATTACTTTTTTAATTTTTCCAGATAACTTTTACATTAAACCGTCAATGTTCACTGAATGCCGAACAGGCATCCGTTTTCGTCTCGGTTTATTAACTTCTACACAAAAAATTAATGAAATATCGACTTTTTCTTGACCGCAAAACAAGCCGTGACGTACGCTGTTTCCGGAACCGGAAGTTCTCTCGGCAGTAGGAGATGGGAGCGTTACCGGCGACGAGTTGGGGTGCGCCGGTAGGTTTTACTGCGCCGATGTCACCGACCTATTTTCTGAATCGGCGCCTCTCATCGCCGCATCGCAGCTGAGCGAAATTCAATGAGATACGTTGCGCTAAAGCGACAGCATGGGACTAGTCCCATACGCCGGTATGCCTGTTGGGAAGTGCAGCGAGTCTTCCGTTGAAGACTCCAGAAGTCAACCCAACTGTCATTGTTGGTAAAAGGCGGCCAGTGTCAGTCGTTTGCAAAGCGACGTAGATGGAAACAAATCGCCGCGGCGTTTTTCGCGGTCTCGGAGATGCAGGAGCGAGCCGACGTTAAAAAAGATACGTTTGAACTACGCGTGTCAGCAAGAGCCACGTAAATACCTGTTCACACTCGGAGCGGACGCGCGCGTTTCATGGAAGTGCTGCATTCGCGCTGTTGGTAAGCGCTTCGGGACCGATCTTTTAGGATTGCAACTCGATACTGACGCGACACTCGTCAAAGAAAGGGTGGACCGGTATTGCACGTATACCTCCCACGATCTGTTACAGCTCGACAGTGACGTGCAGTCTGTCAGAATAAAAATGGCATACCAATAACAAAGTGTACATACCGTGTTACGAAGGTAATCCATACGGCATTTATTTCAGCTCTATATCACACAAAACAAGAAGATAGAATCGACGAGTCCCTTTTCGACGAGTGTTCGTCAACACTGCCTCGGAAAACAAGGGGAAGATATTGACCTCACCTCTTAATCTAAAATTGAGGTCAGCGATCAAACTATAATACGGGAAGGGTCCACAAGGGTAGCACGGGCATATTCCATTCAGCACGCCAGCCGGTCGTAGGCAGACGGTCTTGCGACGAAGCAACGCTGCGCCGAGTCGGAGTGCCTGCTAGGCCTATATTCTGAGAGCTTCGTCGGAACGGGATTCGCGGCTGTTGTCGCTCTTCTCGGGTGTTTGTGGATCCAGCGTTCTTTTTCGTCGTGGTCTGTTTGAATTACATTTTTTTCTTGCTGCTTGAAGTCGGCACGCGCGAGATGAACACGTAGAAAAATAAACGTTTCAATCAGTCAGAGTTTTGAGAGGACGGAAACCAAAGGAAATAACCGTTCTGAAGTCGGCCCTGCCCTACTGCGCACGCGCAGTAGTTGCTTCGTTTACCACACGATAGATGGCGCTTGGCTCTCAGCATTATCAAATTTGGCAATTTTCGCCACACATCTCTAATTATGCTACCAAATGTGGATCTGAATATGATTTAACAAAACTTTTAGGAAACATTCGCCGGCTGTTTATTGTTTACGATCGCGGTGCTGGTGAGGCAGGCTCTTACCCAATAGGCGACGTGGATTCGGCTGACGTGCTCCGTTTCTGCGGATGCATCGTAGTGAAAAGGCAGAGCTTTCGAAGGAAAGAAGTCGCAAAAAAGTCCAGTTTTCTTTTAAAAGTTCTATAGCAAATAATTTTTTTTAGCTCCCTAGTTTTGTGTTTTTGTGTTTCTTTTCACACCTTTTACGACGTGCGGTGGATGAAATTCGATTTTAAAATCATTTCATGGTCCCTTTAATAAAACTAGACAAAACGAAGCGCCCTTTCTTTATATCTTCAATCAAACCTCGGCAAATGCACAGTATACGAAACCCAGAAATGCACAGTATACTAGAAATGCATAGTATACGAAACCCAGGGTTCGAACTAATTACGGTACACAGCACCTTACATATCTCGTACCAGATCTACTAAACAAACACCCAAACATAGCAGAAATTGCCCAAGCACACATTTCGTTTTTCCATTTTAAAAAAAGGATTGTAGAATATATACTAAATCACTCATGATCTGCAGTTAGTACGAAGTTGACAGTTGTGTGTTGTTGTGTTTGTTGTGGATTTTAAAATTGCTGTATCTTTGTATATTTATTCTGTTTATTTTCCTGTGTCTCCTCCGAGTGCTGTGAAAAAGGGGCTGGAGCCTCGTCAGAAGACAACTCGTCTTCTTTAGCCCCAGCCCCCCAGACCCTTTTTTGTTTCTGAAATAAAAGATACATACATACATATAAGAACGAGCTGTTAGTCAGCGCGGTTTGTTTCAATTTTGCTTTATTTTTCGTGCGTAAGGAGTGAGTGTTATTTGGTATAGTGCGCTGCAATGGGACGATTTTACATTTTACACTAAGCAATAAAAGTCGTATTTAGTTCAGAGGGACTGCAGGTGAACTGGTGGTCCAATCTTTCACATGTGGTGTGGCAGTAGTTCTATTTCCCACACCAGGTTCAGGAGCGTCTTCGTTTTCTATTGGTTCTGTGGGAGCGGTTTTGTTTTTTGTTGGATCTGTGGGAGTGGTTTAATTTTTTATTGATGGAGTGGAATCGGTATCATTTTCCACTGGTGGTGTGGGAGTGGTTCCATGTTCGACTTGCGGCCTCTGCGTAATGTCCGGGGTTGTGGCTTCGGTGACTGTATCGGTAATCAGATAACAATGGCCGCCAAAGCAGGAACCTGGACGTCTCTCGGGGCCGTACTGCACAAGAGAAACATAAGCTCGAAAAGAAAGCAGAACAAAAGGCATACAATTTTAAATGTTCACGGGCGTGGAAAGAGGAAAGCAGCATCAGCGTTTAGTATCGCCTTGCGTCCTGAATGTTTATACCACCCTTTTTTTATTTCGTTTTCGTTTTCTTTCTCAAACTAATAAAAACTGCACGAAGGTAGTCATCATATATCCGGTCATCTTGCTTAAAGAACGATCCTCTTTAATGTGTTTCTAAGTACAAATATCTAGAGTTGTATATTTCGGCTGATCTAAAGTGGAATGCACGTGTTGAGACCAATTTTTGAAAAACTTATGCCAAACATTCATATTTCATGCATAACATAAAGCACACCACATTTCACGTAAAATTTACTCCAAACAAAATCACGATAAGGCGTTTCAATTTATATGCTTCTCAGGTTTGAGACCCCCACACTGCCACAGACATTAGCAAGTTATAAAAGATGCAAAGATTTGCGCCGGACTTTATATACAGCCATTACGAATGCAAAGAATCTGTTACTTCTTACGAAACGGCTCAAATTGAATTTTTCTCGAGTAGACACCGTTAGGCGAGATTGAATTTATTAAACTCTATGCTTAACGGGACTTAAAAATGAAAATGTTAAAATAGTTCGACTGGTTCGTGCCAGTCAAAAGCTTCCATAATAGGGCGTTAGTCTGGTACCTTTGCCGCAGTGACTTTTTAAATTTTTTTCAACGTAGTATTGCGTAATAAAATAGCCTTCTTAAAGATTAGGTCGACCTGTCAACCATTGCCGTATTCGTAAAATCACAAGAAAGTTGTCCTTACAATAAATTTCGATTGTATGTTTGTTTTGTATTGAAATATAGTTTTAAGTGTCGTACTTCTGAATATGTCTTACTGAATATTTGTAAAACTCTGCTTTTGTCCGATGTATAACTTCTTGTGCATTACATTGTATTACCCTTCCTGCCACAGCCTCTGAAAGGGGTTGTGGCATGACACTGCAGTATGTGTAAATATATTAATTAATACATATGAACCACTTTCTAAGCGCGAATACATAAGTTCATGCTAACCCTTGCAGGCTGTGTCTATATAGTTCAGATATGTTAGTTACTTTTTTCGATGCTTTACTTTTCCAACGTAAATCAAGTCAAATTTTACAACATAAGTCATCTAAAATAATAACTCAAATACAAACTGAGCTACATATTGCGTTTCTCAAATTCCCCGCACCGTAGTAATTCGCTTATCTCTGCGTTTCAATTCTTCAAAAATTTGACACGTGGTAAGCTCAGTGTTTGGAAGTGGTATGCGCCAGTTTGACTTGAATAAATTAGACCTTCTGTATAAAAAATCTCTCGAGCCTATGAATAAACAAAAAGTGCACGTCGGCACAGCAGACGGCGATCTACGTTTTCTGTACCACCTAAATTAAGCATTACAATCCGCTCCCCAGCGACTGGGGTGGTGTAATGTACATTTTAACTGCGAGACCAAAGCTAGCTTCAAGAACCAAGAATAAAGTATACTTTAGTCGCTGACGAAATGAGAACGGAAGGACATATTTTACGGATTATTGGCATCCAGCATGCTCGTTGCCTTCTAGCGTGCTTTGGTTGCGCCTGCACCACCTCAAGCCCGCGCTTGACGTGGGACAAGTGAAGGACCTCTCTCCCGTTCTCACCCTGCCGGTGACTGTAGTAAAGTTGCGAGAAGGATGATCTTATAGACGGATGAGTCTCACACTGCAATTTGTCCCGGGAATATAAAATCCATACATCCAGTGACCAGTACTGTTTTTGCAATAATAAATGCAGTCGAAATAACTTGCTGCCAACTGGAAAAAAAAAATAATGAGACGAGTAATTTATTTGGGTAAGCTCGAATCACAGAATCTTAAAACGGCAATGCATAAATGCATTATACGCGCCGTTCTTTGATTCGATATATTCTTATTACTATTTTATGTTGACAATTGTGACAATTCTAGACTGACTTGTGATGTGAAGATTATTGCATGTGACCCCTCACTGCATAGTCTTAAAGGTCAACGCTCAAAAAAAAAAAAAAAAAAAAAAACTATTCCATTCTGAATTAGCTTTTGCACCAAACGTGCCAACTATTTACATAAATCTTAACACCAAATTTATTAAGTCTCTGGACCTGGGCCATTGCTTGTACGTAATACTCAAATATTAACGTTTGAATATAGTCAACCAGTTACGAGCTAAGTTTTTCAGTTCCCTAGTCATCATCTTTACAATCCAGAAGCTAAACATCACACATCTTAGGAATGCAAAGCAAATTAAACTTCAGGAAAGATGCGGGTCAACATTTTTTTTAAAATGTGGTTGCGGGTTGAAGACTTATTGTTTTTAAATCGGGATATTTATCGTTTAAAAACTTATTGTGTTTTAATTGTGATATTTGGTCCGCCTTTTATATACAATATATAAAAGGCGGACCAAATATGGTAGCGATATTGGTAAAATTTGCATCTAAAAGCCTCCCGAAAACCCAGAAACACTAATATGAGCCATCGATTCTTCACATTTCGACGTAGCCTTCCATTACTATTATATTTAAAGAGTAGGCCTATTCCTCTACTCTATCTTAATTGTTTATAATTTCAAATTCTTACAAAAATACTTCATCTTTTTCCGCCGCGAGGGAGTGCCACTTTTTATCTGTAAGAATGCTCAAAAGCTTCTTTTTTTTAAATTTTGGGGCATTTTATCAGTTTGCGCACACTATTTCTTTATTATAATTCTAACATCTAGATTAGCGAAGAAGCGAAAAGAAATAAAAGGTGACATCAAATTGACATATTTAAGTATGATCGTTCACCGCTAGACTGTTCCATTACCCTGGTTTAAATTTTTTGCTCTCAACATTGTACTATGGCCAACACATTTGTCATTCATAAGCGTCGTGATACCTACATTGCAAATGTTCATGCATCATTAGAATATATCATAATACAATATTTTAAATTAAAACAAAAAATAATTATTTTTAATTTATATTAAAATAAGGAACTCCTTTGTAATAAATTTGGGAGTTAAAATAGTTGGGAAGACTGCTTTTGCGCTGCTTGTGCTTTTAAGGCTGCTTGTGCACTGTTTTTAATATGAAACGAAGAAAGTTCCCGTACATTTGCATTTGTTGTTCATCGCACTCTGTGCTTTAAAAGCTTCGATTTAGCTTATATTATTAGGCACCTTTACGTGTGTACCCATTCCCCACAAGCACAAAAAAAATGTTTTTTTTTTTCCATGTGCATTGCACCCAATACGTAGAAAAGCCATATTAAAACTAACAGTACACTTATGAAACGCAGCTAAAGGACTATAATCTGTAAAAAATGTTAGTAACGTAAATATATAAAAAAATGTACTTCCCAGGCGCGCGTACTCTTAAATCGCAAATTACAGTGGAGAGTTCTAGAAAATGACGACTATCGTTTTTCGGTCCTTGAGTGTCATGAATACCAACTCACCTCTTCTGTCCTCGCAGTGGTTGGGCAGCCGTGCTTTATTATTATTGGTCCCGTTCTGTTCCACTGAGCTATTACGTCGGGATATATTTGACAATTTACCAAAACAATCGCAACTGAAACAATACATGTGAAAAATGTGTCAAACAACGTGACTGCAATGGACCCTGTTATGCAGCGTCAAATTGAGAGCAAGTCAGCATCTTTCGAACGTCGATCAAGCAACGCGGGCGGTCGCATATTACGGGCTTCGACTCCGAGCACTGACGCAGCTCTCGTGCCCAATGTATGTCAAAGTGCCTTGTCCAAATAATGATGGCCTCGGATATTCGACATAGTAGCTGTGGAAGGCACGGACTTTTGGAAAGTCTTTTATAATGCGCGCTCAACTCTAAGCACAGAATAGTTTGTTGTAAAAAAAACAATAACATGCATTTATTACATTATGATACATCATTACAACATAAAAATATGAGCAAAATGAACCGTAAATTATCGAATTAAAGCACGTCTACGTTTTATGATGTAAAAGAAAGAAAAATGGGAGGTCGGGAGTTTTCGGGGTAAGCGTTCATTGATGAATTTTAGGTAGTTATTAAACTATTGACACGAAGCTGCGAGCCAATTATTATTTTCATAGGGCATGCAACTTGCTACGCTTTGAGTATAATAAACATCGAAGAAAAAGAAGAGTAGTACAAGAAATGAACGGGACTGAGCACAACTCTTTTGAGTATTTTGGTTGAGCTATTTACTTCTTTAATACACGTCGCAGTAACTACATGCTGTTTGAAAAGGATTCAATGCATCAACCAATCCCCTGACATTAATGTCGCACTATATACATTGTTTGTTATGATGTTGTACTCGCGCCTATCAAGTTATTTCAACCAAGTTTTATTTCTAGAGCTACAGCATTATTAGGCACATTACTAGTTCCCTTACATATGCTATATAAGCTCTATTCTTTAAATGTTAATGGTGGTTTTTCGCCCGGATTGTATTCATGTTAATGTTTGAGAACCAAATGTGTTTGTAAATGGATTTCAATAATTTAAAAACACTCGTTGGATCCAAATTTTGCATATAGATACTTACCTGAAAACAATAAATGAATTGATAATATATAAAAGTTGTTGAAATTATTTGTATTTTAATATCTTTTTCCAGGACTTTGCCCATAACCGGCCTCAAATGATTGGGCAATACTCATAAACAAATGAAATTGCGGCAATAAGCTTTTTCAGATTGGACATACGACACTAGAACCATCATTTGATCTCGTTTGAAAAAAATTATATTGAGGTACGGAGTGCCCCTAGAGGTCGATTCTGACCCTGGACGCATCTTCGAGTAGAAAATATTCAAGAGTTTCCGCACATCGCTCGTCACTGAAACGTCCCGACAGCGAGGTTTCAAATAAATACCCAGACAGAACTACAGAAATACCAAAAGGTTGTTCAGTTATCAAAAATATTAGAATACCTTGAAAATTATCATTTGAAGTACATACCAATAATGCATATCGAGCTCGAAATTCCCCTCTTCATGAAAACACGCACCATCATCGACTCCTTTTTGACTGATCTCGCAGTTGGTGGAGCTCGTCTGCACAAGCTAAAAATTAGAAGGCGCTCAATTTATACGTCCTTTCTTTCACACAAGCTCAAGTGTCGAGGGAAGGCATATGTTATTTAAACAATAGGCATATTCTGAGTTTGGCTTGCAGGGGGTGTTGTCTTGGAAACAAACTTCTTCTTTTCTGTAGATGTTCTTCATGCGCGCAATATCTGGCTTCAGGTTTTCTTTTCTTTTTTTTATGATTCATCAAGCCCGACTTTTCAAAAAGCTGAAAAACAAAGTTTCCACGAAACGCAATTGTTTGCGTAAAGTTCTCTCTAAAGCAAAATGCGTCTTCCATACGTTTACATTCCAGATTGTGCGCTGAATATAGTTACATGGGCGCTGCAGAACGTAAATTACACGAGGCAACGTAGCCGGCTAGGGTGCAAAAGCGTGCGTGTGTATGAAGGCACTCTATAGCCGGCAGCGATGGGAAAAAAGAGAAGAGCGCAACGAAAGAGGCGCGGCACGACACCTGGAGAGCGAAACACAAGATCGAGGAGGCTCGACGAGCAGCCGCGCGACCACGTGGCTTGTTACAAAGCGTCGTGCAGCCCGAGCCAAGCGTCGTGGAGGTTGTGGATTCCGAGCAGCCGGGCCAACTCACGAGCGTCCGAAATGCAACGCCCACGGCCAGGGCCGCGAGCATCGCAGACAGAATCAAAAACGCAATAATAAAATCGCCAGAAAAAAAAAAAAAACTTTTTGGAGGCATTTACTGCAAAAGGTTCTTGAAAAACGGGGGAGACGCCGAAGGACGCGTGGGCGGGTAAACGCATATCGCACGGAATGTGGCAATACCAACAAAAAAAAAATTATAAATTAGTAGGAGACCGTATTGGTCGCAGATGGAAAAAGGGCCCGGAAAAGAGCGCAGCGAAAGATCCAAACGCCCACGCCGCAGGCGTGTGCCGAGGCGAGAGAAATATAGTAAGGGATAAAAACCCGGGTTTTCAAATTTATCACATGTTGCGCGGAAAATAAATTGGTCTCCTGCAAGAAAAACAAGTCACAATGCTTGGACAGGGCAAAATGAATAACTTCGCGCTGCTTAGTGGGACAACGAAAACCTTGCACATTGAGAGTCAGAACGTGAAGGCCCAGAATAAAATGGAAAGTAAAACGCAGTAGGGCCATCGGAGAGGTTAAAATGCCAGCGGATCAGAGCTGTCGGAGTCCTCCATGTGGAGTTAAGGACTCTGCAGATGGTTGGAGATGTCCGAGTCGTCTGGAAGCAGACAACGACGCGTCTTAGGGACAGTCGGAGCGTGGGGGGCGTCCGAGCTGCTGCTTGTCGCCGGGAGGCCACGCTAGGCGTCGGGACGACCAGAGGTCATGTCGACGTCTTCGGCGGACGACGGGTCGGTGGACGACTCGCACGTGGGGGACGACGTCGGAAGGGTGGGCGTAGGAGCCGGGTGCTCTTTACAGGGGTGATGTCGGCCTGGTTTGCGATGACGAGGCGGTCGGAGTCCGAGCTCAGACAGTCGTCGTCGATACCGGGAGCGTCCTGCGCAGCGGCCGTGGGTAAAGAAGCCTCGGGGACTGGGGTCACGGGAGCCTGCTGGGACGAGGGGATTGGGTCATCGATCGGTGGGGGGTGATCCAGCCGTAGGACTAAGGGGCCAGAGGAGTCGTCTTAGGGTTGGTTGGTCAGACGGGGGCACCAGGAACGGGTAAGGGCTACGGGGAAAAGGGCGGAGGGACGCGGGGCAGAAGCGTGGCCTCAGCGTAAAGGCTAGCCCACATGGCACGCTTTTCTCCGCGTCTGCGCCTGCGCTTTGACGTCACTCCGGGCGTCGGTACAAAAAGCAGCGTTTTTTGGCGCATTCCCCGGTATCTGCAGGAGCCAGATATTTCACGTCCGGGCGCCACGTCTCCCGCTGTTTCCAGAAGGCAACAACCAATGAACGGCCGTGTTCACTAGTCGCCAGGAGCGTTTGAATTTTCTTCACTGTTTTCGCCACTGTAGGACTCTAGTTTTTGCCACGGACCTTGCGAGAATGGGTATAATAATAATAATAATCATTTTTATTTGCAAAGATTGCGATACTCACTGGGCAGCGTGCAAGGCTAGGCAGAAAGGTTGAGACCTTTACGCAGGTGCGCCTGTTAGCTCGCCGCCAAGTGGGCAAAGGGATACGGGAGAGGAAAATAAATTCAAACACTCGAAACAAGGATACACATACAAAAACGCTTAACAGCCCCGCGCCATTCCAAGGAAGAGTGGGCACACGCACGCTCGCACGTGCGCGCGCGCATACAAACACACACACACACGCGCGCACACACAAACACACACACACACACACACACACACACACGCACATACACATCTGCGCGCGCGGTGAGTTCACAAAATGTGCACGCCCGCAGCCATCAGTAAAAGCGGCTGAGGCCCCGTCAACGCTCGCAGCAGGGCGAACATGGGTAATCACGTCATTCCCCTCGCGGACATCAGTTTACCATAACTTATGCACAAGTCCAGGGGCTCCTCTCTGCTCCGCGGGAAAGGCTGACGCTTGTGGGAGCCGGGGGTGAAAGACGAGGCAGACGGTCCGTTTTCTGCCTCGTCTCGGCAGAGAAGACACGAGCTGGCGCGAGACATTGTGTGCTTAGCGAAACTGAGAGCTGGACTGGAACGACGAGGCCAAGCTGCCTGGCCTGGCCCACGGCGAACCCCGGAGCGGTCCACCAGCGAAGTCCGGAGCAAGACGGGTGGAAACGGCGAGCCCTGGCCATATGACCTGGGCTACGACAATCCCGGGGCGGTTCCGCAGCGAGAATCGGGCAGCGATAGGCGGGACAGCCAGCCTCCGCAGCGCTGGCGTGGGAAAGGCGATCCGCACGACTGGACACGGACTGCGACTGTGAGCTCTGATCGACGGGCGACAACAAGGGTCGGCGTGCCTGGGCTGCCGGTTCTCGAAAATGGGCAACCGGGAGGTACAGTAAACCCATTCGCTGTCTTCTCGTTGTTATGTCGCTCCCTGGGCGACGGGCGAAGCGCATACCGATCGGGCGGCGATTATTAGTAGAGGGATCTCTATACAGAACCCCACACGCTCCTTCAGCGGAACAGAGAGCAGCTAGCAAAGTATAAAAGCGTTCCACTCTGGCAGGCGAAATGTAAAGTATACAAGGACACCAAGAGACAAAGGTACAAAACTAATACTATCGGCAGCAACGCAACCTCTCTAGCCGCCAGCTGTAAGAGGTTTGGCGCGGGAGATGGTGACGACGATGGCATGCCGAAAGGGGGATGAGACGCTTAGTAATAAATAGGACTGAGGAGCACGAACCACTTTCTTCCCATGGTGAGCTGAGCAAGTACTCTGCCATAGACGAAAACAATTTTGTTCTTTCATAATATTGAGGAACCCCGAGCCACTCGCTCACATTTCCCTAAAAGGAACTAATAAGATGTGTGGTCGAGCGAAAAGAGACCACTTTCCGAGAAGAGCGTTCAACCTTTAGTCTTCCTCTATAATCGCTTTCCATTGGGTGAACGATTATTTGATGCATTGCATGGGAGGAAGAGAGGCGTCAATCATCCTTCTGGTGGCACCAATTACTTGAGGATCACACACATGAGCCTTCCTCTCATTATTTTCATTCTAAAGAAAAATGCATGTTTTGACGTGTGGTTTCTTCACCCTATTCAAAATAGTTGCGTCGCCTCGCACTTGTCGAAGACGGGACGGATATAGTAAATGCATCGAAATTTAAGGGAAATAAGGTGCTTGCCAAACTTTTGCGTTTTAATTCGAAAGCATCATATGGCTGATTACGCGAAAATCTGACGGCGGCGTCACCGAGCAATGGTACCGAAAATGGCCGAAGGCACAAAGTGTAAACACACGCCTTAAATGCTTGGATTCTCGTCTAATATCTCAAGCTGGTTCCTGTGAACACAATAACTTAATGGCTTAGAAAAGAAAATTTGGTACATTCCGATCAGGGTGGAAATCGGACCTGTGCTTCTATGGTAGGAGACGCGCACGCTTCCCCGACGCCACGGCGGCTCCACGATTCTGGCTGACTACAGGTGTGCCTGCGCCTGCTTCATGGCACACGTCACGTCGCAGCCATCTGGCTGACGAAAGGTGTAGCCTAACGCTGTTAAAGGCTTCAAATACTTCTCAATGTATTCACCGACCACGAGACAATGGTCCTCTTAAAAGCTCATAGAACCACCGCCGACAAACCCGCATCCTTTAAGATGCGAAGATTACAGGCCAGACATATATCCGTCTAATGACGAAGACAGTGTCGCAACCGAAGATGACACAATCACGACAGACATATCATTAAACATAGAGGGTGTCATAGCTTGAAATAAGATTCATCGTTTTGCATCAAAATGGTTTGAATATTTCTGGTCTGTGGCCGACGTATACGCAATCAAAACACCGAATCGAACACCGAATCGCAAACACAAACACCGAAAACATTTCACCAAAATAATTATAATGCTTTCTCATTTTCACATGTAACCAGCCTTAACTGTCTATGCCAAATGTTTACTGTCTATCCCTTTTTATTAAACACTTCCAACAACACTATTTTTGCTGCAAATAATTGTGTTAGATTCGAAGTTAATGTAGTTTTTATGGCTCTTTGAGAAACTGCAAGGTTTTCTGTAGTTCTTGTATCGCCTTTTTGCAAGGCGATGAACTGGAATCATTTGTTCCAGGACCTCAAATGTGGGGGGCACACTACCACAGCCGTGATGGAGCACTCGGGCATCTTTTTGCTGCAGGTTGGTTATTTCAAATCTTCAGCTTGTCGTCGTTCAAGGAACTATTGTCGGCTGGTGGTATCGTGCCCCATTGATTGGTAGTGCCGTTTTCGTCGCGTGTGCTCTTGGTTTCGTGACGTCATGTCCGTAAGTTAGCGGTGTGCCCTTTAAATGCAATCGGGTGAT